GGTGCCGGACGCTGGTCCCGGTGCCGGTACCGGCTCCCGGTGCCGGTCGCGACTGCGGCGCTCGCGGGGGCCGCGCGGCAACGGCGGGACAACAGCGCCCCCCGGCGGCGGAGCGGCGGCACCGCGGCACGGACGGGGCCGGACGGGGCGGACGGGACAGGGACACGACGGGACAGGGATGGGATTGGGAGCAGGGGTGGGAACAGGCGCCGGGACGGGCTAGATGGAGGCAGGGAAGGCGCCGGGGGGGCGCGGGGCCCAGGCCGCCCCGGGTGTCCCCGCACTGTCCCCGCTCGGGAGGGCGCTCTCCCTTCCCGCATCCCGGCACAACCCGTTCCTGCTCCTCCGGCCCAGTGACTCCGTGCAGTCACAGCCCCTCCAGCTCGTTAGTGAGGGCGTTAATTAGGCTGCGCACCAGCAGACCCCATTAGGGCACCGCAGGGGCACAGCCACCCGCGTCCCCTGCTCCTCAGAGACGGGTCCGGGCCACGCCGTGGCATCGGCGTGGGGTTAATCCGGATTATGTTTTGCAATAGGGTCTGGCCGGACGCCGTGCCCTGCGCTCCCGCCACCCGCGCCGGGGTCTCCCCGTCCCCGCGGGGCCACGGGGGAGGGAAGGGACCGCCGGGCCGGGCAGGGGGAGCCGCCGGGGGAGCTGCAGAGACCGGGGCCGCTCGTGACACCGGTGCAGGTGATGCCGCGGCGGGGCTGGCTGCGTGGGCTCCCCTTCCCTCTGCGATGGCCTGGGGGGGCTGCATGGTCCCCAGACAGCCCCAGTCCATCCCAGCCCTCCACAATCCATCCCAGTCCTGCCCCAGTCCATCCTAATTAGTCTTAGTCCATCCCAGCCTTCCACAATCCATCCTAGTTCATCCTAGTCAGCCCCAGTCCACCCCAGTCCTCCCCGATCCATCCTAATCAGTCCCAGTCCATCCCAGCCTGCCCCAGTCCCAGTCTATCCCAATCCTCCCCAATCCCTCCCAGTCTATCCCAGTCAATCTGAGTCCATCCCCAGTCCAACCTAATCAATTCCAGTCCTCCACAGCCTATTCCAGTCRGTCCCAGTTCATGCCAATCCATCCCAGCCGACCCTGGTGCATTCCCGTCCTCTCCAGTCTGTCCTGGTGCCAGTCCATCCAAGTTCATCCCAGTCCACTCCAGTCAATCCCAGCCCTCCCCAATTCATCCCAGTCCTCTCCAGCCCACCCCAGGGCACTCCAGTCCTCCCTAGTCCGTTCTGGTGCCAGTTTATCCTAGTTCATCCCAGTCCACTCCAGTCCCAGTCCTTCCCAGTCCATCCCAGTCCCTCCCGGTCCCTCCCGGTCCTCCCCGGCGCGGGGCGCCCCAGCGGGCAGCCGGAGGGGGCGGGCGCCACGCGCAGCGGTGACCTCACCGTGACGTCACGGCGCGCGTCGCACCCGCGGAAGGCGGTGCCSGCCGCGCCGCCTCCTGATTGGCCGCCGCGCCTGTCCGTCAGCGCCAGGTGGACGCGGCGCTGCCTACCGGCCCGGCGCGAGGTAACGGCGCGGCCC